TACAATATCAGGTCATTTCAAGTTCTTTTGTGAGTTGAAATCTGGCTTAACATAAATGGCTTCCAAGTGGTATTGCTTCCTTCTGTTCTGGAAAAGGACATTAAAGCAGTGAAGAATGCTGTAGTTAAGTTAGATAGATGTAAAAATTGTGGTAGCATTAACACTGGAGTAAGTATCATCTTTTCCAGTATTGAAAATGAAGTGATAACAGAAGGAAAACTTAAGAGAAAGTAGAAAAAGTAAAGATAAAATACAAGTCCTGATACTGAAAGAGGATATTTCATTTTAAGTTCTGTTCTAAATAAGATTCAACTCTTAAGATTTTTTTCCTTCCAAAGTGAGGAAATGAAGACAGAATTTTATCACCACTTAATTTAGTCTTTTTCATAGATAGAGAAAACCTTTCCTAAAGAAAATTGAAAAGTAAGAATCAAGGGATCATAAAAGATATGCATGTAATCAGGAAAATGAAGCTACTGATATGGTAAATATGCATATGCTTCCTCATCAGTCTTATGGGGATATAAATTCATGACTTGATTTGCCTACAAACACTTCCTTCAACCATGCTTTGCTAGGTCCCTCTTTCTGGGAAGATTCCAGATTCCATAACTTTCTGCATGCTTTTGGTATTAAAAAATTAATTCTGGTTAAATTTAAAATCCCAATATTACATCCACTTCAAAGTCCTTCTTTCCCTTTTCTCCAGAGACAGTGGTCCAGGCTTCATTAGGAGCAAACTTTTTTTTTGTAAACGTCTCTTCCCTCTCTCTCCTGCTGGGTCTTCCAATGTGTTAGCATGTGAAGGAAGATGATGGAAAGGGTTAAAAGTCTCTTACCTTACTGGTGCAGTTGTAGTTTACTCATTGTTTGTTGTTGCAGTTTTTTGGGGTTGATGTTGGCAGGTATCCAAATGATAGTTCTTTCATGAGATCATGTATATTAATTTTTTTGAGAACCCTTTAAGGTGGCTTCCCACTGCAGTTTCTTAATGTGAGGTGGTAAGTTCCAGTTCTGTTTCTTTGAACTGTTTTCAGCATCCACCTCCAGTGTTGTGGCGTAAAGCCTCCTTCTCTGAAATCCCCTTGCCTTCTGGCAGTCTTCTTGGGTAGGATACCAGGAAGATGTTCCAAGCCATCGCCTATGGTGTCTAAATTTTGGAAATTTGTGCATCTTTGCTGTGTCAAATTATGGGCATTTAAGCTGTTGTACTGTTGTCCCCCTTTCTTCCAGTTCTCTCAATTTATCATGGCAGATCAAATATTCATTGCCTAACCCAGTGGTTCTCAAGGCTTGTCACTAGACTGGACCAAATATCGAGGGACAAAGGTTTAGTTCTCACTCACATTATGTATTCACATTGACTTTAGGTCAATTGTAGGCCCGCATTCTATTGGCTAAAACTAGTCACATGAAGCCTGACATCACTGGAGCAGGAAGTATACTCATCTCAAAGGCAGGGATTCTATTCAAATGGGCTAGATACAGAGGAGCAGTGAATATTTTGAACAAATAATATGAGTGATCACAGTTACATGATGAATTGTAGCTATTGTTAAAATACAGTTCCTACCTTAAAAAGATAACAGGAGAGGAAATTCTTGCAAATATGAAACAATCAGAGAATAACTAGTGCCAGCCTATATATACTAAAATTATGACATGGGTTATAAACAAGAGAAGATTCTGAGACAAGCTACATGGTGAATGATGGCTACAATTAAGGTGACAGGACCTGAGAAGGGAAGGAATTCCAGAATGGAGCAACAGTAAGTCATGACCTGGCTGGGAGTTAGCATGACTGGTGGGAAGGACAGAGAAAAGAGCACCATGTATGGAGTTAGATGGCCTTATTTTGAATTCAAGGAGGACAGGATTGGTGAGAGAGGATAGGTCCAGATCATGGAGGAACAAAAAGACTTAGGAAGGTCTGGCACAGTGGCTCATGCCTGTAATCCCAACGCTGTGGGAGGCCAAGGTGGGTGGATCACTTGAGGTCAGGAATTCAAGACCAGTCTTGCCAACATGGTGAAATTCTGCCTCTACTAAAAACATATAAATTAGCCAGGTATGATGGTAGGTGTCCGTAGTTCCAGCTACTCAGGAGGCTGAGGCAGGAGAATTGCATAAATCCAGGAGACAGATGCTTGAGCCAAGATCATGCCATTGCATGCCAGCCTGGGCGGCAGAGTGAGACTGTCTCAAAAAAAAAAAAAAGAAACTGATGAAAAATTGTGGATTTGATATTGTAGGTGATAGGTATGTTGATCAGTTTTTAAGGATAGAGCCTACAAGACCATATAGTCTAATGGAAGGAGAGAGCTAGGTTGAGAAGTATAATGGCATTTCTGCCACTGATTAGCTGTTTATCTATGGGTAAGTCAATAGTCATTTATTCAACAAGTATTTAGTATTACTGTGTACTAGGCATCATTGCACATACTGAGAATATAAAGTTGAATGATAGCGATCCTGCCTTTAACAAAGTTTTAGGCAAATGGAAGGTAACTGTTTAGGAAATGAAATAATGACCATAAACAGGAAAGCCACAATGAGGAACAAACATAGGCATATGTCAGATATTTTTTCAGATGCAAACCGTAGGTAAACAGATCCTACTAATGGATCAATTAAGTTATTATATTTTATAGATGATATAGCTATTTAAAATCATAGGAATCCAGGTATGGTGGCTTATACCTGTAATCCCAGTACACTGGGAGGCCAAGGTGGGAGAATAGTATGAGCCCAGGAGTTTGAGAACAGCCTGGGCAACATGGCAAGTCCTGTCTCTACAAAAAATCTTAAATATTAGTCGGGCATGATGGTGCACACCTGTGGTCCCAGCCACTCAGGAGGCTGAAGCAGGAGGATTGCTTGAGCCCGGGTGGTCAAGGGTGTAGTGAGGCCTGTTTGCACTACTGAACTCCAGCCTGGGCGACAAAGTGAGATCCTGTCTCAATCTGTCTATCTATCATCAATCATCTGTCCATCTAATATATGTATGCACATACATAATTCATACATATGATATAGCTCCTGAGATGTCCTAGATATTCTTTTGAGCAGAAAAGTAAGTTGCAGGTCTGTATATAAAATATTATCTCATGCGAGTTGGAAAAAAATGTATATGCATAGAAAAGTTTAGGGAGTGTGTGTAGATGAGGAGTAGGACTGGTGGTGATGGGAAGAACAACTTTTAATTTTTATATCCTTTTATCTCTTTGCATTTTTACCAAAATATATTTTAACTTTGTAATTACAAAACTAGTTAAACAAAGCATTCCCCCACAATCAACCTTCACCCATGACTTTATCTCTGGACTCAAACATCCTGTTATTAAAATATTCATGTTAATATATTTTGACTCTGACCTGGCTTCTTTTGTTTATTCAGCTTTTGTTCTGATAATCTTAGTTGTAACCCCTTTTAGAGTTTCATCAAATAGCTATTCTGTCTACTCTGAGTTTCACTTCTATTTTTTTTTTCCAAAAATTTTTTATTATAAAATACACATAAAATATACCATCTTAACCATTTTTAAGTGTATATGTATTTGTTTTTATTTAACACTTTCTCAGTGAATACGTTTCACCATCTCCCCATTCTCTCTCCTCAGGACAACCATCATTTTCTAAAAGCACAACCTTGAAAATGATAGTTATAGCCAACCCTGGAGACCAGAGGACAGTCCAGACATTAGGTCAGCTGTCAAGGTGTTTTTGAAGGCAAGAGCCAGGCATCGACTCTGATTTCTGGATAGTCAGAGACAGGGAATAAAAAACTTGGGTAATGACTCAGCCCAGAAGGCTGAGACAAAGGGAAGATAACTGCATTGTTAATGTGGAGCAATGGTAGTAAAAAGAAAGAAAGCAGACTGCTAATATATGCTTTCTTCAAAAATTAAGAACTGTTCTTGGGGTGTGAAAGGTCCTGACCTGGAGGAGGGAAGTACATGGCTCTTTGATCCTGTTTTGAAAGGTCGAAGAGAAAAGCAGTTTCTGCCTGGTTTCCTTCACCATCCTCAGGCCGTCTTTTTCTCTCCTCTCCTCTGTTCTGCTCTGCTCTGCTTTTCTGACAAGGCCTCACTCTGTCACCCAGGCTGGTGTGCAGTAGTGTCATCTTGGCCCACAGTCACCTCTGCCTCCCAGGCTCAAGTGATCCTCCCACCTCAGCTGCCTGAGTATCTGGAACCACAGGTGTGCACCACCATGCTTGAGTAATTTTTGTATTTTCTTGTGTAGAGACTGGGTTACACCGTGTTTCCCAGGCTGGTCTTGAAGTCTCGAGCTCAAGCAATCCACCTGCCTCGCCCTCCCAAAGTACTGGGATTACAGGCATGAGCCACTGTGCTTGGCCCAAGGTTTCTTTTAGAAAATAAGGAGGTTAGGATCTTTGGAATAGGAATGAAAAACTCCTAAACCCAAACACTTAATACTACCACTACCCCTCTGTTAATATACATACATACATATGCGTGCGTGTGTGTGCATACGCACGGGCTTTAAATGTTGTGTTCAATAATCTTTTATTGGGATGCATGATGCATTATGATCTGATGAAACCTAGAGCACATTAGCATTGGTATTATTTTGGCAAATATTTTTATATTACCTTTCAGAAACTGATTTTAAAAAAGATTAGGCCTCATGTTCAGGAACATATCTTAGATGTTTTTGTCTTTACCACATCTTGATTTGTGTAAGAACTTCTATTTCATGAGTGATTATCTAGGAAGTTATTGAAAAGCAGGCTTAGATGCATTGCATTCGGGATTTTTCAAATTGACCCATTTCAGAGTGCTTTGTAGATATAAATTTGAAATGAAGTACATAGTACCTTCAAGCTAAAATCTACTTTCTTAGGTTTTGAACTCTGTTAGGATGAATTTATTACTTTTTTTGTTTTTATTATCTCTAGAAATCCTCAGATGTTGCTCTCATATTCTTTTAAATGTATTCTGTTACTGTTTTTGATTGTATGCTTAGATTTTTGAAGTCAAACTTTTAAACAGATTTTCATATAAAATTAAGGCAAAAACACAGCAAACATATTTTATACCTAGTAAATCCAAATAAGTTGACTAACATTTTAGAAAAAATAAAACTTCAATAAAATAAGCTGCATTTTTTACTTAGCATTCTAACTTAGCAGTCTACCTAAGTTAGAAAATATAATGGGGCCGGACGTGGTGGCTCATGCCTGTAATCCCAGGACTTTGGGAGGCCAAGGCAGGTGATCACAAGGTAAGGAATCCAAGACCAGCCTGGCCAGCATGGTGAAACCCTGTCTCTACTAAAAAAAAAAAACAAAAATTAGCTGGGCGTGGTGGTGGGCACCTGTAATCCCAGCTACTCAGGAGAATTGCTTGAACCCAGCAGGTGGAGGTTACAGTGAGCTGTGATCTTGCCATTGAACTCCAGCCTGAGTGAGACTGTTTTAAAAAAAAAAAATAATGGGAAAAGGATACAGATTTATAATATGTAAAAATTACTTAAAAGTAATATAAATAACAACCATGTATAATTTTAGATAATGAAAACAGTGAAACTTCATTTAGAGTTATAAGAGGGACTTGAATAAATGGACATATATTCTACCCAAGACTGTTTTTGGATAATATGATGTTAATAAGAATATCGGATCACATTTTGTCTTGGAATTTGACATGATAATTTGAAATTCATGTGTCAGAATGAATAGATAAAAATACAAAAGATTACTTTGAAAAAATAAAGCTAATGATAGAGGGAATTAATCCTACCACAGAATAAAGCATAATTTAAAAACAGCAATAATTAAAACAGTATGATACTATTTGATTTGATCATTATGGGACACTTAAAGCTCATATACATAAAAATGACTATGATAGAAGCTAGAAATTGCTATAAAAACATGAGTTTGGGATTTTCAGATACAGTATTAAAGTTGCGCCGTTACTTTTCTGTGAGATATGACTGTGCTTCAGAAAGCAGAGGTTTTCTTTTTAGGTTTCTCTTGTAAGTTGGACCTTGTTTTAACACAGGATAGTCATCATATTTTAGGATTAGACTTTAAAAATTTTGTCTTTGAAGTGGTGTTGCTGACATTGTTGAGGATTATATAAAACAAACTTTGCACCTACTTTTTTGGCCTGGGTTGGGGGTGTTGAGAAAAAGTTTGTGCACAGGTTGTTGATGTTTTTTAAATAGTCATGGTCATAGCTGAGATATATTAGGTTAGTGTGATATATACTGTTAAGAAAAAGATTAGTTTTATCTTACTTGGCCTAATTAGCGTTGCTCGGTTCATTGGCCCAAATGTATCTAGACAAGACACTGTGAGAGCCATGTGTTCTGAGTGGAGTGCTGTGAAATACTGACATATTTTATTTTGTCTTAAAAATGAGCTAAAATGATAATTATAGAAATGTATTGTATGGTCATACTTGTAATAAATTCATAGCATCAGTACATGCCCATAAATAAAATAAACCATTCAACTAAGGATGTTTTCTCAACTTTTTATGCTGACGTTAGTTTGCTGGTTGTTTATTTTTGTTATCTGGTATGGAGTACAAGTGGTAGCTCATAGCTCAAATTTTAAAAATTTATGAGAGAAAAAGTTTTAAGTAGAGACAATTATATATTAACTTTTTCTTTTGGGGTGGGGGAATTGAGGAAAGCTGACCACATGCTTTTTAATAACAGCATAATTGAGATCTAAATCACATACCATAAAACTCACACTTTTAAATGAAGAAGGATAATAAGAGTAAAATTTGTGAGCCAGTGCGTGCTCCTCCTCGCCTGCCGCTAGGTCCAGTCCGGCCCAGCCACCATGTCCATCCACTTCAGCTCCCCGCTGTTCAGCTTGCGCTCCACCGGCTTCTCCGGCCGCGGTGCCCAGGTGCGCCTGAGCTCCGCGTGCCCCGGTGGCTTCGGCAGCAGCAGCCTCTATGGCCTGGGTGCCTCGTGGCTGCGTGTGACCATGCGTTCCGCCTATGGGGACCCGGTGGGCACCGGCATCCACGAGGTCACCATCAACCAGAGCCTGCTGGCTCCGCTGCGGCTGGACACAGACCCCTCCCTCCAGCAGGTGCGCCAGGAGGAGCGTGAGCAGATCAAGACCCTCAACAACAAGGTGCGTTTTATGGAGCAGCAGAACAAGCTGCTGGAGACCAAGTGGGTGCTGCTGCAGAAGCAGAAGTCAGCCAAGAGCAGCCGCCTCCCAGACATCTTTGAGGCCCAGATTGCTGGCCTTAGGGAGCAGCTTGAGGCGCTGCAGGTGGATGGGGGCTGCCTGGAGGCTGAGCTGCGGAGCATGCAGGATGTGGTGGAGGACTTCAAGAATAAGTACGAAGATGAAATTAACCGCCGCACGGCTGCTGAGAATGAGTTTGTGGTGCTGAAGAAGGATGTGGATGCTGCCTACATGAGCAAGGTGGAGCTGGAGGCCAAGGTGGTTGCCCTGAATGATGAGATCAACTTCCTCAGGACCCTCCATGAGACGGAGTTGACAGAGCTGCAGTCACAGATCTCGGACACATCTGTGGTGCTGTACATGGACAACAGTCGCTTTCTGGACCTGGATGGCATCATCACTGAGGTCAAGGCTCAGTATGAGGAGATGGCCAAATGCAGCTGGACTGAGGCTGAAGCCTGGTACCAGACCAAGTTTGAGACCCTCCAGGCCCAGGCTGGGAAACATGGGGACGACCTCCGGAATACCTGGAACGAGATTGCAGAGATGAACTGGGCCATCCAGAGGCTGCAGGCTGAACTCGACGCCATCAAGAACCAGCATGCCAAGTTGGAGGCCGCCATTGCTGAGGCTGAGGAGTGCGGGGAGCTGGCACTCAAGGATGCTCGTGCCAAGCAGGAGGAGCTGGAGGCCGCCCTGCAGCGGGCCAAGCAAGACATGGCACGGTAGCGACGTGAGTACCGGGAGCTGATGAGCGTCAAGCTGGCCCAGGACATCTAGATTGCTACTTACCGCAAGCTGCTGGAGGGCGAGGAGAGCCGGTTGGCCGGAGATGGAGTGGGAGCCTTGAATATCTCTGTGGTGAATTCCACTGGAGGCACTGGCAGTGGCAGTGGTGGTGGCATTGGGCTGAGCTGCGGGGGAACCATGGGCAGCAATGCCCTGATCTTCTCCAGCAGTGCGGGTCCTGGGGCCGCGAAGGCTTATTCCATCCGGACCACATCCACCAGTCACAGGTGCGCCCGCAACTGAGCTGCCTCCCACCCCTCCATTCCCCCAGCCACTGCCCACACTCCCATCCCAAGACCGCGAGACAGTCTGGAAAGTGATGTCTGCATCCAATAAAGCAGCCTCGTTCTGAGGCCTGAGTGGGGGAAAAAAAAAAAAAAGAAAAATTTGTTTATTTTAGTTACAATTCACTGTTTCTTTTTGTATATTTACAGAATATACCATCATCATGATCTAATTCTAGAATATCTTCATCTCCCTCAAAAAGAGACCCTTTATCTATTAACAGTCACTCCTCATTTCCCCCAACCCCCAGTAACCACTAATCTACTTTCTGTATCTATGGATTTGCCTATTCTGGACATGTCACATAAATGGTATCGACTTATATATGTTCACATTCTTTTTTAGTGGCAAGATGTCTGAATCCAAGTCTAGAAATACCAGCATTCTTTTTTGTTTTTGAGATGAAGTCTTGCTCTGTTGCCCAGACTGGAGTGCAGTGGTGCACTCTCGGCTTACTGCAACCTCTACTTCCCAGGTTCAAGTGATTCTCCTGCCTCAGCCTCCCAAGTAGCTGGGCTTACGGGCATGCACAGGCCATGCCTGGCCAATTTTTGTATTTTTAGGGAGACAAGGTTTCAGTGTGTTGGCCAGGCTGGTCTTGAATTCCTGACCTCAGATGATCCACCCGCCTCAGGCTCCAAAAGTGCTGGGATTACAGGTGTGAGCCACCATGCCCAGCCATGATGCTCTTTTCTTTAGAATCAGTAGTGCTGCAAGAGGAAAGACTGCTTAGGAGAAATGTTAATAAGAAAACCCTTTATTATATTAAATGAAGAAGGAAAATAATTAGAAATCATATATGTGAATTTTATTTAAATCTTTAACCCAATTTCAGTATTGTTTTCGAAGTGTGATTTTTGCCATTTATAATACATACCTAAATTCAACTGCTGACATGGTAAGTTATCTCTTTCACTGTGTTCTATACCCAGAACACTCCTAGTGATTGTGTTAGATGTTATAGGTGGTATGAATACTTTTGTGGGGGTTGGATCTTCTTAATTACCTTCCGTGAAATTCTGTTAGTAGTTTTCTTATATGTGCACTCAGAACTTAAATGGAAAATTCTTTATGCTCTTAATTTCTTTTGCTTAATTTGGTAATCAGAGTGTTCACTTTTTGACCCATTTATATACTTTTGAAATATGAAGAAAAAGCCCTCTCATGTTTTCATATGAGCAGCCAGATAGACAGCACTTTAAAAATTAGCATATGTATGTTTTGACTATCTCACTTAAGACTGCCTGTCAGTTTGGCAGCTCTGAGCTTGTTATTTCTGTGTCTTCTCTTTTTTCATTTTCATGTTTTGACAAATAAGATTGTACTTTTGACAAGTGATTTATACTTCATCTAAGAATTTCAAAGTGTTTTAAATTTATTTGTTAAACTATCTAAAGATCATTTTATCTACCCATCTTTGGATAATACAAGATTCTCATCAATGTAAATGAAGATAGAAAGTGATACTATTAGACTTCTTGCAGTAAAAGACATTACTGGGCAATAATTATTTTCAGAATAATTATTGTTTACTTTTCAGAAGCTTATATTTCTTTCAGTTCAGTATCTTTTGACTTACTCCTGTGTATAATACTGTCTAAATGGGAATGACCCTTCTTTTTGTATTACTTGAGAGAGTATATCTTTCAAGAATGAAGATATTTACAGGCATCCCTTGATAAGTGAATAAATGCCATGCTGAACATTTTATTGCAAAAGGAAATTCTATGTATTTAGTCTTATATAACCAACATTATATGTATTCAATTTTTTAATAAATATTTAATGAGTACCTAATATACTGGGAATTTTGTTCTTTTTTTTTTTTTGAGACAGAGTTTTGTATTTGTTGCCCAGGTTGGAGTGCAATGGTGCAATCTTGGCTAACTGCAAACTCTGCTTCCCAGGTTCAAGTGATTCTCCTGCCTCAGCCTCCCAGTAGCTGGGATTACAGGCACCTGCCACTACACCCAGCTAATTTTTTTGTATTTTTAGTAGAGATGGGGTTTTACCATGTTGGCCAGGCTGGTCTTGAACTCCTGATCTCAGGTGATCTGCTTGCCTCAGCCTCCCAAAATGCTGGGATTACAGGGGTGAGATTGGATTTACAGTGGATAACAATACAGATAGCACTACATAGAGCTTATAAGCTACTGGGTGCACAGAGGTTAAATGAGTAAATAATGTAATTTCAAATTGTAATAAGTGGTTTGAAGAAGAAAAACTAAAGTAATAGGGTATGTAATTATTTGTAGTTGGGGGGTAGGTTAATTTTGGTTGGGGATACCCTCTCTGGGAACTTGCTATTTGAAAAGAAACTTGAATGTGGAAAAGGAAATACCTATCCTGCAGGAAGAGTATTCCAGGCAGATGTAACAGCAATTAACAAGGTCATAAAGGAAGCATAAGAAGGCAGGTATAGCTGCAGCACAATTAAGGGCAGTACAATTAAGGGAAGGTATGGTAAAAAAAAAAAAGAGAGTGAAAAGTAGAGGCTAGATCATGTATGACCTTGTAAGCCACGTTAAAGCCTTTGGATTTTATTTTTTGTGCAAAGGGAAACCTTAAGCAGGTCTTAAACAGGGGCAAATGTACAACCTAATTTATAGGAAGATCATCCTGGCTCCACCAAGAGCCTGCATCACAAAAGGCAGAGTGGAAGATATTGTAGTAGTCCAGATGATGTTGATGGCATCTGTTGCTAAAGAGAAAGGGGTAGAGGTGTTGATAAAGTGGCAGGATTTGGATTAGGTTTTGTAGGAAGAGAGCTGAGGACTTGCTAGTGGACTGGATGTTGAGGCCAGGAAAGGAGAAGAATCAAAGGGAACTATGAAGTTTTGGCCTGAGTTGCCGGATGAATAGAGATGCTATTACTTGAGATAAAATAAAACTGAAGGAGGACAAGAGTCATTGGCTGTGTGAGTCTGAGATGTGTATTAGACATCTTAGCGGAAATGTTGGGTAGGCAGTTACAAGTCTGGAGCTCAGTAGAGAGGTGGGTTTTTGAGGCATAAATCTGGGAGTCATGAATTAAGAGATGGTAGGTAGAGGCTTGAGACTGGCTGAATCTTTGAGGAGTAATTATAGACAGAAAAGAGGATGGAAGACCTGTGCATATGTTCATGCAAGAAAAATTTGTATTTTAATATAAGCAAAATCAAATGTCTCTTGCTAGTCAGAGTTCTGAGGTACAAGTAACAGAAAGCAACTGTGACTGTTTTTGTCGAAGGAAGACTTTATTGAAAACATATTGGGTGGTTAATAGAATCATTAAGGTGACTGGCAAATCAGGTTAGATAATGGGCAGAATCCAAGGGAAAACAGGTACCTGGATATCATCCATAACTATATACAGCAACTGTTATATCCTGACTACCGAACTTGAGCCATCACTGTTGGAGCTGGATACAGGTTACCCCCATGAGATCCTCTGGCACTTATGACCCTAGAAACTGGATGTTGCTGTGGCTACTTCCTGAGCAGTTTCTCTCTGCCACTATTCCTTGGGTCACTTGCTTTACATTCAATGTTCTAGTAAAGAACTGAGCCTAGGTGTTGTGTCTTCATCCTGACTCAGATGGTAGGGGAAAGTAATTATCTGAAATTTTTGGTTGCTTTCATGAGATATTCTTTATATTCCACCAAGACTCAGATAATGGGTAAGTTCCCCAAAACAGAGGATGGCAATTCTGATGCTAGGCATTTTAACAACTGTAAAAATGTACCTCCCTAACCACCACCTCATTCCCCCACAAAATGACTGTGGTTATTCTCTAATGCCATGTCCATGTTTTAGTTTTATGAATATAATACACTTGATTGCTTATGAATTCATTCATTAGAGTGCCTCCAGATGCACTTCAAGAGTATTTTATCCCACTGGTTGCGGTGCCTCATGCCTGTAGTCTCAGCACTTTGGGAGGCCGAGGAGGGAGGATCACCTAAGGTCAGGAGTTCGAGACCAGCCTGGCCAACATGGTGAAACCCCTTCTCCACTAAAAATACAAAAATTAGCTGGGTGTGGTGGCAGGCGCCTGTAATCTCAGCTACTCGGGAGGCTAAGGCAGGAGAATTGCTTGAACCAGGAAGGCAGAAGTTGCAGTGGTCCAAGACTGTGTCACTGTACTCCGGCCTGGGTGACAGAGTGAACCTCCATCTCAAAAAAACCAAAAAATAATATTTTATTCCTACTTCCTTTTCCCGTGATCTGTTTCTTCCTCTAAGATTAAGAAGAGACCCATTTTTCCTATGTCTCTTTCACCACAGCCAGAGAAATACAGCCTCTGGTTAAAAACACACAAGTCAATAAGCCTACAGTTCAAGCATCTTTCTTTAATTAAACCTACATATTAAAGAAAAAACCAGACATACACACAGTCACTACCACTGCATACTCAGGGTTTCTTTGGGAAAGTTAATAAATCTAAAGCTGTATATTCTGGCCCAAATATGTGACTACTGAATCGATTCCAGGTAAGTTTTAATTAAGTATGACATACTGAAATTTCCCCAGATTAATTATTAATTATATAATAGCAAAATTACACTTGCACTGTAGCTGTGGCTACCTGATAGAGAAAAGATTGTAGCCAAAGGTATTACAATCCATTAATTTGATTTATATAAGACAATTTATGACATAGTCATAGTATGGTTATGGTGAGGACTAACTGCTTGCCAAAGAGATAACAAGTAAGTATGGTAAATCCTCACTTAGCATTGTTGATAGGTTCTTGGAAACTGTGACTTTAAGTGAACTAATGTATAATGAAACCGTTTTTTTTCTCATTAACATTATAAAAATGATGTTGAATAAAAGACATTATTTGAGGACCTGCTGTATGTTGTTCTCTTTAAAGTTGCAGTTCCAAGAACCTATGGATAACATTAAGGGAAGACTTACTGTATTTTCAGGCTAACACTTATGTTCTTTCATAAGCATCATTGGAAAATGATTGCTGGACATTTTCATTGAGTGCTGGATTTTGTTGTCTTCCCTCAAAGAGTGTTGAACCTTTCAAGGTTGGTTTGTAAGCTTTGTTAGAGTGAGTTAAGAGTACACTTTAGTCTGGGCTAGTTTACTCCTTCTGTGCAGACATGACCTTTCTGAGGTCTCTACTGAAAGTCCTAGGTATTTAATATATCCCATCACTCTGGCTGGTTGAACTTGGAAGTCTTGCAATTCTGATTGCAAGGCAGTTGGTCAGCTTATGGCTTCCACTTTGCCTTGTGGAGTTTTACCATATGTTGGCCAATTTAGTGTTCAGCCAAAACCTAAGAGGATCCTGTGCTGATTTCTGGAGCACTGGGTCTGTGTAGCTCCCTCTAATTCTGTACTCTGAATGTTCCAGCTACTTCGTCCTCCTTAAACTCTGATCTCTGTTTTCTCAACTCAGCAAGATCCTTTTGCTCTGTTTGGGATCCCTTTCCTGCCCTGAAGTCTGGAAAGTGCCTCTAGGCAGAAAGCCAAGAGTGATCATAGGGCTCATGTCATTTGTTTTGCTTGCCTCAAGGTTCATAGTACTGTGCTGCCTGTTGTGTGAAACACTTGGAAAGCAGTATTTTTTCTTTATTTTATCCAGTTTTTTAGTTATGTTAGGAGAGTAAGCCTAGTCCCAGTTGCTCTGTGGTAGACAGAAACAGAAGTCCCATTAGAAAAATGATTATACCACTGAAATGCATGAGCATTAGTTCTGGTACTTTGCAACCCTTATAATTTGGAAAAAGTTCATGGAATGATGAAGAAAGAGGAAAAAAAATTCAGTGTTAGCATAGTAAAATAACAAGTAGAGTAATAATACTAAATATATAGGATTATCATATGTATAGGATATGTTATGTGTGTTCTTTTGTGTGGATAATTACATACATAATTTAATCTCAAAAATCATAGGTAGGTGCTATTATTATCTCCATTTACAGAGTTATAAATTGAGGTACAGAAAAATGAAGTAACACAAGAGCACACAGCTAGTAAATGGTAGATCTAGGGTTTGATCCACCCTAGCCAAATAAAAATTGCTACCTAAGGAAACTGGGTAGGTCTCACATTCCATATCTGAGCAGTGAAGTAGGTTGTATTTAGAAGTATGGTATTGCTCAAGACTCAATTATATGATCTTTTTTTCTCCTTTGAAAATTCTTCTTGCTCCAAATTTCATCACTGGCAGAATTTTTTTAAACCTAGGGCTTTATATACATCATCATTATCATGTGAATGACCCCCATCTCCTTATAGCTCTACCTATTTACTGATACTCCATATCTATATCTACATCAATATATATCCTTAACTGTAGGTCATACCTCTGCCTACTTACTTCACATCTCTGTGCCTCTCAGTACCTTAGAGCCTACAGGTCTTTTTTTTTTTTTTTTTTGAGATGGAGTTTCGCTCTTGTTACCCAGGCTGGAGTGCAATGGCGCGATCTCGGCTCACCGCAACCTCCGCCTCCTGGCTTTAGGCAATTCTCCTGCCTCAGACTCCTGAGTAGCTGGGATTACAGGCACGCGCCACCGTGCCCGGCTAATTTTTTGTACTTTTAGTAGAGACGGGGTTTCACCATGTTGACCAGGATGGTCTCGATCTCTTGACCTCGTGATCCACCTGCCTCAGCCTCCCAAAATGCTGGGATTACAGGTGTGAGCCACCGCGCCCGGCCTTGATCCTACAAGTCTTAAACAGAATTCAATATCCAACCTTTTTTCTGTGACCTACACTTCAGTTACTGAAGTTTTTCTTTTTCTAACTGACAGTGAAACATTTGGGGATCACCTTTAAATCCTTCTTGGTTCCTTTCATGAAACAGGCTCTTAGAACCTGTTTTACTTGAGAAATGTCTCTCAAAAAGGTCCTTTTTTGTTTCTGCTGCCCTAATCCAGGACCTCCTTATTCCTTATTGCTCTGTTGCAACAGAAAGTTATTTGACCTTCTTGTCTTTATTGTTTTCCTATTCTTTCTATCCTTCACTGTACTTGCAGAATTATCAGCATAAAACTCAGATAGATTTGCTAATACCTTAATAAAAATCATTAAAATCTTGTAGTGGCTCATCATTGTATTCTTTTTTTTTTGAGGCGGAGTTTTGCTTTTGTTACCCAGGCTGGGGTGCAATGGTGCGATCTCGGCTCACCGCAACCTCCGCCTCCTGGGTTCAAGCAATTCTTCTGCCTCAGCCTCCTGAGTAGCTGGGACTACAGGCACGCACCACAATGCCCAGCTAATTTTTTGTATTTTTAGTAGAGATGGGGTTTTACCATGTTGACCAGGATGGTCTTGATCTCTTGACCTCGGGATCCACCCGCCTCGGCCTCCCAAAGTGCTGGGATTACAGGCTTGAGCCACCACGCCCGGTTTATCATTGTATTCTAAGTCAGAAGTTAAAAGCAAGGCTTTGGATCTGACTGACTTCAATTTCCTTTCCTCTACTTTCTAGCCATGATACGTTGGGAATTTACTTAATTCTTTAGCCTTAGCTTCCTCTCCTATAAAATGGGCATAATAATAGTTCCTCTTCATAAGAATGTTAGGAAGATGTTATTTCAATGAAATAAAAAAATGTTAAAATATTTCAGTGCTTGGCATGTACATACTCAATAAATGAAAGCTGTTATTGTATTGTTAAGAGAATAGTGTTCACAGCCTTCCAAAGGTCATTATAGCTTGCCTTGCATTATAGATTGCAGATCTATTAGAGGCTTGCTAATGTAGCTCATACTTTCGTACCTCCATGTTTTGGTTCATGCTGTGTTCCCTGCTTGTTGAAAGAATACCGTGCCACCTCTCCTGTGAAACCTTTCTCAGTTACCACAGTTAGACCTAATTACTCTTTAGGGCTTACTTAGTCTTAATGAGAGAATATGCCACTAGTTATTCCCGTTCTTCTAGCACTTAGCTTGCCTAACAGTTGGGCTCTTAAGAGTCAGACAAATGGCAAGATCAGTCAGTGTTAGCTGCTATTGTTATTATTATTTTTAGTAGTTGTGTTAGTAGAGGTCTTCTCTTTTGACCTCTACCAGACTACTGCCTCCTCAAGGGCAAAATCATCTGATTCATTTTTGTTTTTTCTCACAGTGTCTACAACAGTCCTTTGTACATAATGAGTACTCAGTAAATGTGTTGAATTTACAGGGTGGAACTTCGGCCTGTCTGGAGTCGCCTGATAGTGGAAGGAAGTGAGATGGGTAAGGACAGTGGTGATCTGCTTTGAATGTTGTGGAGTGATCTGTAGCAGTTTTCTGATAGGGGAATGGGAGCATGGTCCTGCATCACCTGGGCTGTGTGGCAGAATTCTTCCTGCAACAAGTTATTTTAATTTCTTTTCTAGCAAAGTGAGGCCTTGATATTGTCAGATTACCCAACTGTGTGAAAAATATCACTAATGAGGCAACATTTTTTTGGTGTTAAATACACTTCTACCCATTGTTTCTTTATTTTCTTAACACCTCCTTAGATACTTGAACATAATTTAGAGGTCTGTAGGAAAAGTAATGTATTTTTCAAATACTTTTCACATTGAGTTAAATATTCTCCTAAAACAATAAATATAAATAAATATGAGTCTAGCCTTTTCAGGCATTTACCCTTTAATCAGTGTCAGATACATCACTCCTTAGGAAATTTTGAAGAAATTAACAATGGAAAAAGATGTGTTTTCTTCATTTTTTCTTTCTTGCTTTTGTTCAGATTTGAATAGGCAAGTAGTTATTGAGTAAGATACTATTTTAATAAATCGTTTTACAGTATTTGCATTTAGAGAAGTGACCTGCAAAGTGCTATGTTAAAAAATGAGGGAGATGTAAAAACGTGTAATTACTGTTTGATGTTGGATCTTTGAAACACTAATGTTAAATTTTAACATTCTGAACTATGCTGGCTTAGTAGCTCTATATAAACATTCCTAATAGAAAAAATATATTGATACAATAGGAATTCTGTAAATATTTCAGGTGTAAATACAGATTCAATTTGGATTAAGCAAAAGAAAGAGGAAAAAATAACGTGATTTAAGATGGTGTGGTTATTTAAAGGCTTTTAGGTAATAGTCCTCTGTCGAGTGCTACCTATTAAACGAAAGCCAAAACGCTCACCAGACAGCAGGGAAAGAAGTGCTATATAGATTACAAATAAGTAACCCAAAGGAAATATACCTAAAAAATTGAAAACCAGTTTAAAGCCTTGCATCACTTTGAAGCTTTAGATTGATTATTTCTACAGAAACATAAATATATTTTCTCCTTTCTTGATACAGTTTACTGTTCTCAGATTCTCTATTCCCACCCCCAGTTTAAATAACTTTATATTAAGTCCAAGAACATCTGAGCCTAAGAGATTGCTCTTCAGTCTACAGACCATGTGTGGTATGCATATGGATTCAGAAAGACCACCCCAACAGATTAGGAACTACTGGGTCTCTTAATTTGCGTATGAGATACTGAGGCCTTGAGTGGTTTTAATCAGCAGTCACAAATTAGGATCAGCAGTCACAAATTGCAGATGGAATTTAGCCCTATAGGCATGTTTTGTTTGGCCTGTTAGGATGCTTTAGAATTTTTGAGCAAACAGTTCAAAATCAGGAAAGTTTTAGCTTCTCATGAAAATTTAGAGGATCTGATACTGCTGAACTGATATTTCTAAATCACATCAATTGAGTTGCTTAGCAGTTGCCCTTTTTAACACGATTTGTGTATCTTTAGGTTTACAATCTTCACAATTCCCTTTTGTTTTAAGTCTGTCTGTTTCACTTATTTATGTTACTTGCCTTCCCTTTATGAAAATTTTTGCTATATAGCAAGTCAGAAGCTATATAAAATGTAAAAACGTCTCTCTTTAAGTCCTAAAGCAATTGTAGGTTCCTAGCCCCATCACTCAGGCAGTGGTTTACAAGCAGGTGCCCTGGATTATAGCTCTTCTGTTGCCATTGACTGACTCTGTGGCATTGCACGGGTTACTTAGGGTCACTGAATTTCAGTGTTGTTTTCTGTCAAATGGTCATAATAAGCATTTAAATCATGCACAGAGCTTTCAGAAAAACAGCTCCATAAAATCATAGTTAATATTTTGTTATATATTAGATTGCTTAGCAATGCAGTTTCAGCTGTGCCCTTTTCCTGCTGTTCATATCGTCAATGCTCTGCATCCTACAGGATAAAGTCCAATTTCTTTGCCTTATCTGTTATTCTGTTTTTGCATTGCTATAAATGACTGTTTATTGCTATAAATTACCTGAGACTGGGTAATTTACAAAGAAAAGAGGTTTAATTGGCTTTTGGTTCTGCAGGCTATAGCGGAAGCATGGCACCAGTATCTGCTTCTGGTGAGGGCCTCAGGAAGTTTATAATCATGGCCCAAGGCAAAGAGGGAGCTGGTTCATCACATGACAAGAGCGGGAACAGCCATGCGCTACACTATTTTAAACAACCACCATGCACTACACTGTTTTAAACAACCAGATCTCAAGTGAACTCTTGAGTGAGGACAGCACCAAGCCATTCATGACGGATCCAGCCCTGTGACCCAAACTTCCCACCAGGCCCCACCTCCAACACTGGGGATTATATTTCAACATGAGATTTGGAGGGGATAAACGTTCAAACTATATTGCCTTATAGTCAGGGTTCCCAGCCATTTGGTTCCAACAAAGTATCTTTGGTTCTTGCCAAAGTATCTTTACTTTCTACAGAATGGAATTTATTCAGTATTCATTCTCCATCTTCCCACCCCCTGCACCATTCATTCTTTTGCCTTATAAATATTGAGTACCTCTTCTGTTCCAGGTACTGTTCTAGGCACTAGGGATTACAAAGTTGAACAAGACAAAGTCCCTGCCTCTAACATTCCCATACTTATATTTCAGATAGCGAGTCAGTATTTTGTATTTTGAATACATCTTACATATGTCTGCCTCCTTTGCTTACACTGTTCTCTTCATTATCTTTTTTCTATTTATTTTATTGTTTTATTCGATAACTATTGATTGATTGCCTGCCTGCTGTGTGTCAGACACTGTTCACTGGGTATTGGTATTATAACAGAGTCAAGTCCCTGCTCCCTTGGAATTTATGTTCTTGTGAGGTGAATGAACATTTTAAAATTGTGTGTGTGTGTGTGTGTGTGTGTGTGTGTGTAGATGTATATGTCATAAGGACTAAGAAGGAAAATATAATGGGGTAAGTAGGGTAGAAATGAACAGCGTGAGGGTCATAGTGTGTATTATCTTAGGTGAGACTGTGAGAGACAGCTTTTCTGTATGATATCTGAACAGAGTTCTGGAGGGACTTAGGGAGGCAGCCAAGAGGGCCTTTGGAGGAAGAGTGATCCAGGCAGAGAGCACCAGTGTATGACTGGCATGTTTAGGGGACAGCGAGAGGGCAGTATGGCAGGTGCTGAGTAAGAGAATAGGAAAAGGGTAAAAGGTGAGCTCAGAACAGTGGAGGGGTCCAGACCCTGAAGGGCATTACAGGCTGTAGTAAGCACCTTGGCTTGCGGCTCCAGAATAAGTTGTACCTCCTCTGAAATTTTTACTTCAAGTTCCTTTGCGAAGTCTTCCTTGACCATCCCTGTTTTTGTTGATTTATCCTTGGTAACTCCTGGAGAACCTGAAGTTATTGACCACATAACTCATATATTGCTTAACTGACTAAGCAGCATGTGCCTGGTTGTATTCTTAGAGGTTTTTGGTTCCATCCAAACTTCTTGGTAACTTTCTCTAGCATAAGGATTTAGTTTTAAACCTTTCTATCCTATATGATGTTTTGCACCTAGTTGGTACTTAATGTATCTTTCTTTTGTGAGGTTCTGGCTTCAGATGTCAGCAGTAGGAATTTGCGATGTCTAAGAAATAAGAGAGAGGACTTGGTGATAGATTACACATAAGGAATGATGTTTCGGTTTTAGTTTGTGATCCTGGAAGAATAAATGGTGTTGTAGACAGAGAAAGGAAAGTTGGGAAGAGAAGCTGATTTTCGAGTAAATTGATGAATTTGGTTTGGAATTTATTGACCTTTCTATGCTAGTAGCATATCCAAATAAAGTTGTCCAGAATGATTTTGATATGTCAGATATATACAGAGTATTGGAGTTATTTGTGACTGCTGCCTACAGTTATGTAATCTTCTCAAGGGCAGGGACAACATACCACTCAAATTTCCAGTACTTGGAACAGGGACTGGCAGTGAAATAATAGGTGCTTAAGTCATTGATACTTAGTAAGTTTATTGAGATGAGAAGTTGGTATGTAGCTATGATGCATGTCTTAGAAAAGGCATAAGCTCTGGTGGTCATTGTGGATCTGGATTCTAGCCCCACTATGCTGTACATGTGTGGTTTTGGTTGAGTAAATAAGCACTATGAATCTCAAGTGTTCTTATCTGGGAAATGGAACAATAAGACCTTCCTTGCCGGGCTGTGAGATAATGAATGGAGGCATAGGTTCTAGCATAGACTAGTGGCTCAATAAATAGTACCAATAAAATTGTTAATAATCATATTAACAATTTTAGCTGAATGAATAAATTTCATTCAGCTAAAATTGTTAATATGATTATTATAAAGATAATGCACTCTATTGAATTTCAGATTCTTGGGCTTGGAAAACAACTCAAAAGCAGTCCCTTTGAATTAACTGTTTTCTTATTTATACTGTTTTAATGACTTATTTATACCTATTTAGTGATCAATTTGCATATAATCTCCCACATTAGCCAATCCTGGAAATACGTACAGAAGTTGGAGGGTAATAAATTAATATGGTTGGAACATTGGTACATCAGTTATTATTATGCATATCAGTTGGTATTCTAGTAGTTTACCTGTTATATTCCAGCTATCAAAACAGCTTTATGGTGGTTTAGGAGTTGAGAGACATGTTGGATGATAAATAATAGTAGAATTACATAATATTTTTATATTTATAGATGTATCTCCTTAAATAGGATGAAATAATTTCACAGAAGATGAATGAAACTCAATCCCCATAGAAATAGTTTTTATAGTAATGAAATAAGTTTTAAATTTAGAGAAGGAAATGGAATCTATTAAAGTTCATTGGGGATAAAATTCTTGATTAAAATATTTTATTCTTTAAGATACTTAGAATCTTTTTTCTTCAAATCAGAAATTAAGATTATAGCCTAGAGTACTTCCTTTTCCTTTTTTTCTGTAGATATAACTGCCTTACAAGTCTAAGTATGTCTTAAAATGATTTCCTGACCACGTAGGTGTTTTTGGCTTTTCTTAGGAGCTGTTGGGTGCCTCTGAAACTGCATGCTTTACTTTCTGTGTTGGAGCAGATGTCGTGGCACTAAGACCCAGAAACCGTTTGCTCTGTGTGGCTGGAGCTGGGCTGGCTGTGCTCACACTGAAGGGAAGGAAGTCATTAGTGCAGACTGAGCTGTGGAGTTGGGTTCTTGCAGGATTTCCTTCCAGCCTTTCCCCACTAAGGTTCTTGGGAATTAAAAAAAAAAAAAAAATCTAAACACACAAACCAAGTTTTCCTATTTACAGTGTTCAGGGAAGGTAGGCATTTCGAGAAGGGCAGATCCTTTTCCCAAGTTATCCAAGAAGGAAGCGAAAACAGCGTAAAGAAGCTCTGATTACAGATCTTTGGAATTTTCTTTGCTAAATTTTACAAACGAGAAATACACCCAGAATTGTGGGAATTGCTCCAGGCTGCGCGTGAGGGTTTGATTGCTTGTCTGATCTTTTTTGAGAAGAGGAGAAATCGCCAAAAGGGGTTTGGATGGCAGAAGCCCGGTTGGGATTCTGTAGCAGCTCGCGTTCTCAGTCTCTTCTCTGAGGGAGGGTCTCTGCAGCCAGCTTGGAGACCCCCTGCCGCAGGCTCCTTTTGCAGGCGCTGGCCGGGAAAATGCCCCGCTCTGGCAGGAGTACGCCCGTGGCTGCTGGGACTTCCTAGCCTGGTGGGAAGTGTGTTCGTGGTTTGGGGATACTTTTCATTGAACTGAAGGCGAAAAGACTGGACTCTCCTGAGGCATTTATTTCCCTTCGCAGTGAATATGGGAAAGAATTAGGGGGTGGGAGGGAGGCAGCATGACTTGCAGTCGTCGCTGCCCTGCATCTGCCCCCAGCCCCCAGCCAACATCTTGATGTTCCACGTATCGGCTGTACAAATATGATGAAATGGCAGCCCCGGAAGAAGGTAAGTGTCCTGGAGAGGGGACGGGCCCTAGTCCCCGACCCGGTGAAGGGGCATGGGGCGGTTGCCCTCAGGTCCCTCCACCCCTTCCATAATTCGCTGGGCCAGCTGGTCCAAGCAGCCCTGGTCCCTTTGGGACTTGCCTCAGTCCCTTAGGGACGAGTTACCAAGTCTAGTCTGTATCTACTGCCCTCTAAGTTTTTCCTTCTTGGTATGCTTGGACCCCCAGGGGTGAGAGCTCAGAAACACCCGTTTGCTTTAGAAGTCCTGTGTAGACAGCGACGCGAGTAGCTTTGCGGGAACCAGCCAAGAGCTGCTAAGTGTTGCCCCGTGGCGGGGAAGGGGAGGCATTCGAGGCTGCACCCCTGACCAGGCCCCGCAGGTGGGTGTTATAACACCTATTTCCCCAAGGGGTTAAAAGGCTCTGAGCCGCTGGCAGCCGTTTCCCCAGGGCCCCGCTGGGGGGCGAGCAGCCCCAGCACACCAGCCCAGCAGCTGGTTCCGGGGCGGCGGGCCGAGGGGCCTCCTGCCTGAGCGCCTGAGGCTGGCCATAACCAAGCCTTCAGCCTGCCGGGCTCCTGAGGCCTCGTGGGCCCGTGCAAGTTCCTGTGCTGGCCATTGTGCAGGGGCGTGTGTCTGTGTGTGTCAGCATGCACCAGCGTGTGTGAATCGATCACAGGGAAAAGGGGGAGGGGGCACTTTGCTTTTTGCGAGATTTTTTCCTAATATGGCTCCTTTGTTGAGAACTCAAGAAAAAAAAAAATCCAGTGGTTCTATCAAAATAAATTGCTATTGGTCCCAGAAATAATGTTTCTAAATGTGGGAATGGTCCCTACCCTAGGACGTCGAGGGAGAAAGAGCTTTTTTCAAGTTGTTGGCCGCTGTACATTTGGCTAGGGCTCTCTTTTGCTAACTTGTCTGACTGCCCCTAACTGTTAGGTGAACCCAGCGGTTCACTGCATAACAGGACTTTTTTTTTTTTTCTTTTTAACTTCAGATACCTCATATGGCCGTGGTTTTTATTGACATTCTTCTGAAGGAAAAACATAGCAAATTGAATGTGCTGTGGCCCTCCGCAGCCTTGACCTGCCTGTTAGCAGCTTCCTGGTTTTTACTTGAACTAGCTAAACTGACTCTTTTCTTTGTGGCACGATGTGTGATACCGTGTTTTATATCAGAACTGAAATCGAAATCATGTGTGAGGTGCATGAGAAGATACTGTGCATTTTTTTTTATTGCTAGAGAATCTAACAAACCCTGCCTCAGCATAGCCTGGTGAATTGAAAGGTTTTCTTTGATACCTAATTGATGGGATTTTGTCCTCTGACCCTGTGTCTTTTCTTTCTCATCCTGAAGTCAAGAATCTCTCATGTGTTATAATAGTTCTCATCACAGAGCTTCTTTCATTGAGATTGGTTTCATTCACTTTGGTTGGGAGACCCATGTATTCCCCACCCCCCACCCCCACCCCCAATACAGACTGTTAGAATGAGGAAAATTCATAGTAGAAACCATATAATTAAGGAATTTAAACAGATGCTGCATATTCCTAAAGTCCCCCATTTCTTCTATATTTGTAAATTGCATGTTTATGAGTAGTTTTAAGATGTCTGCAAACTGTACATTCATAAATGTCTGCTTTTTCTATTTTACCCAGTATGCAGTAACTCATGTGGTTATGTCTGTGGAAACCCCTCTGGGTACTGGTATTGCTTGAACCACGGAAGTATTATTCTTGGCTGTCAGGTGGATTTCTGGACTCTGGAAGATTCTGTTTCAAGTGTTAGGATTCACTCTGCAGTATTTACTCACTCTATGATGCTTAAATTGTTATACCAGAAGGTTGTATTTATTCACTGTATTCATAATCTCATATCATCATGTTGTAAAGATCCAGATACAATTCTGCAGAGTTCATAGAAGATTAAAAAATAAGCCGAGCCATCAAATACCATATGATTATTTGGTGGTAGCTTGAGAGCAATTCTTGCTTCTTCTACATTAGAAATGGGAGCTCCCTTGGAAGAGATTAGATATCCAACTCTGGTAGGGCACGAGTAAGTCTTTATAAAGCTTAGGTTTATTTTCTTACTCTTGCTAGAATACTCACATGATCAGATCATTGCCATGGTTTCTGGCTGGGTCTGATAACACATTTGTAGTGGTACAGTCACATGCCATGTGTTTTACCAAACTGTTTCATAAAAACCATTTACACTACAGATGAAAAGTGATACTGCATTGATGTGATTTTAACAAAGCTAGAAAGATCATCTAAAGAGTGCTGCCCCAAACAGCATTTGTGGTAGCTAGCTATCATGGTGTCCTGTCAGTCACTACTAGTTTTGGCTTTTTTAAATTCTAGGCTCACTGTAAGAGAGTGATTATAGGTTCTAGATTTCTTTGTTTCTAACCGAGCATGCAGCTGGGGTGTATGATTGAAGGGGAGCTCTCTCCTCTGTTTTCTCTGCTTACTTGCTGGATTAATCTAAATACTAAAACAAGTTTTTAAAGTTGGGGGCCTGTAATATTCAGTTAGGGTTTACAACCTTTTCACAAAGATATTGTTAGAACAAAATTAATCATGTTCTGTCCCCGGGACTAGTGAGGACCTTTAGTCTTCTAGAGCACAGTAGGTCTCCCACCAAGAGCCATGTAATTGTCCTAAAAAGCAAGATTCACAAGTATATGCTTATATATCCAAATTCATTCAGTTGTAAAAATTAAATGTGTATAGCTGGCCGGGCATGGTAGCTCACGCCTGTAAACCCAGCACTTTCAGAGGCCCAGGCAGGTGGATCACTTGAGGTCAGGAGTTCCAGACCAGCCTGACTGACATGGTGAAACCCTGTCTGTACTAAAAATACAAAAGTTAGCTGGGCATAGTGGTGGGTGCCTGTAATCCCAGCTATTCAAGAGGCTGAGACAGGAGAATCACTTGAACCCAGGAGGTAGAGCTTGCAGTGAGCTGAGATCGTGCCATTGCACTCCAGCCTGGGCAACAAGAGCAAAACTCTGTCTCAAAAAATAATAATAATAAATATTTAAAAATAAACGTCTACAGCTTTTTCTATGCCTATCATACCTCAGTAAAGTGATTTAAAATAAAAAAGCAAGATTCCGAGCAGTTATCCCAATCTTGGTTAGGATGGCATTTAATATCTTACAAATAAACAGCTGTAATTTTCAAAGCACTTGTTCTAGGCTAAGTCATCTTTAATTGGTCCATATGCATTCATTTAATTCTTATCCACTAAGGTGGTAGGTGTTACAATTTACATTTTACAGATCAGCAAACTGAGGTTTAGAGGGGCCAAGTGACTTACTCAGAGTCACATAGCATGGTAGGGTCACAGCTAGGATTGGACCAGGCCTTATTTACTTCAAAACATGTGTTGCTTACCAATATATTTGGGAACTTTTCTGACCAGAGATTTTTAATCAAAGAAAGATAAAGCTGAGGCCAGGTGTGGTGACTCACACCTGTAATCCCAACACTTTGGGAGGCCAAGGCGGGCGGATCACAAGGTCAGGAGTTCAAGACCAGCCTGACTGACATGGTGAAATCCTGTCTGTACTAAAAATACAAAAATTAGCTGGGCATGTTGGTGCATGCCTATAGTCCCAGCTACTTGGGAGGCTGAGGCAGGAGAGTTGCTCGAACTGGGGAGGCAGGGGTTACAGTGAGGCGAGATCGTACCACTGCACTCCAGCCTAGGTGACAGAGCGAGACTCTGTCTCAAAAATAAAAGAAAGGTAAAGCTGAGATGATCCCAATCAATGAAAGGTAGCTACAGCTTTGCTCCCTCACTTCTAGATACTACCACCAAGGTGCTCTTCTTCCCACTCCTGTTTTCTTTTGAAAAAAACTGGTGTTACCTACCTCTGAATTTATGGATCATTTAGTGTGTGCCTTTGTAAATGGATTGCCTTTTATTGGTAGTAATTTTTTTGTCTCTTAGTGTATGTATCTCTATTTATGTATATATTTTGCCTCCTCATTACACTTTCAGTTGATTCATAGATGCAGATTGTAGTGGACTGTTAAAACCAGAATAGTTGTCACTCATTTCTAATCTTTTGCAGATAATATTAGGGAGGGGGAAATCACACTCTTGGCAAAATCTCAGTGGAAGTCATGGTCTAGATATAGTACCAGGCTCAGTAAACCAGGTACCCCATCCAGTGTCATGATTCTTTTATTCATATAACCTTATTGGCCTGGCAAAATATACTTTCCCCTGTTTTCACAGTTAGTCAAAAGACTGTGTCATCTATCGCATTATTTTTATCTTGTATTTGCAGAAATAATAGTAATTAAAATGCTCATCTCATAGAAACATGTTTGCTTATAATTTTGAAGCTATTTCTGCTCTTTAAAATCCAAGGATTAGTATCAGATAACACTGTGTACATAAAACTGTAGTCAAAACCTTCAGGAAAGCTGCTGCTGATTGGATTTTTTTCATTGCTTATCTAATGTTATTTTACTATTCACACATAATAAAAGATCATTAGTGGGAATATGTCACATAAGCTACATTAATTATGTCATTTGAGAGTCATATGATATATTTATCTTGTTATACTTGTCACATTGATAAAATGTGAATCTGGCTTCTGAAATGATTTCTCTGGTGGAGTTTCATTTAAAAGCCTTGTTTGGAAGCTTATTTGTGAGAATTATGTCCTGTAGATTTGTGTCTTAGAATTGCCTATTACTTTTACAAAAGAAAGTATTTCAAGTCCCTATACTTTCTTTATGATGGAGTAGTTTGTTTCTGTATTATAGGGCTGTCTTAAATTTCAATATGCCTATATACTGAATTATTTAGTTACTTACCAGAATGCTGTACTAGTTGGTATTATTATATTATTCATTTTGGGCCACAGTTTATTTAATAGTATAAAATCAGACTTTAAAAATCAGTATTGTGGACAAAAGTAGTTATATAGAGAGGTCTTAGAAATTTCATGATGGTAGTCTTTCTGGAAATCCATTC